ACTATGTGGCAAGATTTCGGTGGATTAATCTGGCAACAAAGTGTCCGATGGCTGGAAACTTCCGGATTTTACTTGACAATCACCCGATTCCACGATATATACGACCCCAACGGAGTTTTTAATGGTGAAACAGCCGATGTTACTCCACCCTTCTAAACAATTGCTAGGCACCATCACCATCCGATGGTCGTCTATTTTTAGGCGCAATTCCTTTAAGGTGCCTTATTGTTACTTCCCCAAGGATAAATGGGTTCACTCGGTTGAGCGGCGGGTATAGCATTTTCAAGAGAGGTGCAGAACGCAACAACTAAAGCAACCCCGCCAACAGAGCCGCCCGTAACAGTGATTAGTGTATACACTGACGGATACTACTATACACCTCTCCCCCCCCCACATACACACAATAGCAGGGGATTCAGGCCTGAGTAGCGCGGTTGCCATACGAGTGGGCCAGCCATGTCGAGTTGCCCCCCCCCTCACGCCCATGGTGGGTGCACTTCCGCATCAGAGTGGGGCACGACCTGCCTCGCTCGCTGGGACCACTTTAGACACCTGTCCATTGTAGTATAATTCATACCCCGTATAAGCCACAGAGATTCTCCCCCCCCTTCCTTGTAACAGCCCTTAACGTACCAAAATTACTCAATTCCCGGCGACGGGAGGGGGTGAACCACTCTATACTCGTGCCCGAGCCGGTGGGTGGGAACTAATGGTGCCAATTTTTACTCAGAAGGTGCCATTTTGTTTATGTTTTCTCGGGATTCCACGGGTGGGTGGTATTGAATAGGTCGCATTGCAGCGAAACCCGGATTTTCTGAGGGTTATAGTATTCATCGTAGTTGACCTCCGCGACAATCAACAAAATATAAAAATGAATATTTTGTTTGCCATTTTCCCTGTACCGTCAGTTTAGGTTTGTTGAGCGGGGCCGTCGGTTGCTGATCCCTAGCAAAACCAAACTATATTAGTAATAGGGGTTGGGGAGTACAGATAAGTAAGTTGCTGGTGGACTCGATTGGTGGAAAGCCCACCCGGTTTCAATCATACTTGATTGTCTTTTTTTCTGTTTCTGTTTCTGTAATCTTCCATGGTGGGTGATGGCACGGGCGGTTATCGCACCTGAAGTGACCTCCTTGGGCGGGTAGAATAGTGATGTGGCGATGTTTTTCGCTATGTTGCCAAGGCCTTACATGTAACCATCGTGGCATCCACCAGGTTGTTTGCCTTCATTAACTGATCTACTGTAGGCCCTTATGCTGGGGCTTGATCGTTTTTCATTAATGAGTCAACGTAGTCATTACTACTACCCCCTTCCCCTCCTTGCAGCAGGCGACCCTTGCCAATAATTTTTTGAAATCCCGACTGCAGATTGACTACAATCACTGGCTTGGGTGGGTAGGGAGTAGGTGTGAGTGTGGGGAGGGGGCATTCCAGGGGTCTCCGAATTGTCACCGTGCTAAATCCATCGAAGGTAAAGAGTCGCTGAATCGGCCATTGCATATTCTAGAAAGTCGGTAATTGGCAGCTAGTCGACAGTGTCTTTGTTCCGTTCATAATTTACCCTCGTGCCAAGCACGGAAAGTATCAAGTGGCCCAGGCCGGCTGTAGGATTTATTCACGGCCTGTTGATTACATGGCGCAGTGGCTCATCAATTTGCTTGTTAAACCACTCGTATGACCTTCCCCAGACTATCCCCAGCCTGTAAAAGCTATGCGATATTCGGCCCCTACTATAATATATATATATATAGAAAATTCTAATATTAGATATGGAGGGATTGTTAAAGTTCGCTGCATACCAAATTTTCGTTTTTTGCGATTACAATGAACACTATATTAAAGGTATTACTCTGGACCGTCTACGTTTTGCACCGCATTTTTATTTACAAGATCCCCCTTTAGCACTCCCACGAGCCAACTTCGGCAGGCCCAGTCCCTGTAACCCCATGCCGGGAATCATGTAGGCCAGGCATACCTAGATGTTAATATACTGATTTCGCCACACTGCCAACTATACACTCGAGATATCCGATAACAAGCCACTTTATATTAAATATATTTTAATTTTCATAGAGTGGTCAACCATAGGTATCGTCATTTTTTTTCATTATCACAATACCCTTTGCTGTGAATACTCATACATCTGGCGGATATTGAAAGGAATAGTGCCGCGAGAATACTGGGAAAATGGGGGTATGCATCGTGGTTTCTATCGGTGTGTGGGTTGAGAAATTCCGATTGGGCGGAATAAGGGATCACTACCACCTATTCGTAGGTCCAGGGAGTTTAGGAACTAGATATTGCTATTTACATAAACGAATTCCATGCTATACCCTTTATGTATCAGCTAAAAAGTAAACCCATAGTACCAAATCAAGATGCTGTTACTAATTAGAGTGGTCGAGCAGGTCGCTTAGTTTCAATCTCATAATTCATGGGCCTGTTTATTATATTCCTTTTCCCTAGATTAACACCAACCTTAGTACTGCTATTGGTTTCCATTTCTTAAAAAGTCATGTGATCTAATTTGTAATGCCAGCGAATTCGATTTCTTTATTAAACAGTAGGGGTTTGGAAAAAAATAAACTAAAAAATGGCCAAAGTTGACCGAGCTTTTACACTCGTCAACCGACATACATCCGAGTCAAAGAATTCAAGTCAAGTAATATTGTAACGATTATACTAGCATCGTATTTGCTCCCCCAGTACATGTGCCCATTTCCTTCATACAGCTCCATTTTAACCGCTTACTCGACGGTCTCTTTATACTTCACTCCGATTCCCCAATTCAAAACTTGTCGGCTCACCTAGCCAGTCCATTTCCCCCACTTTTTTTAGTCATCTCCTAGCTACTCAATTTTGAATTCACCATGTCCGGTTTGAATGACCCGACGACGACCAGCCCCGTCGCTGAGGCGAACGCCACCGTCCTGACCGACCCGGCACCCCCCAAGCAAGTCCACTTCGAAGCCCACGTGGACTCTGAAACCGAGACGGAGACCGATACCGATTCCGAAACGGACTCGAGCGACTATGACTCCGACGATTCCGAAGCGGAAGAACCGAATAGCAGTGCCTCTGCTGCTGCTGCCACCGTCGCCTCGATTGCTAGCCTGAAAAAGCCCTTCGTTTCGCTCGTTTTAGACGCCAGCCCTTTATTTCAAAGTCTCGAGGGCATTTCCCGTTTGGCCGATAAATTCTACACCGTCCCCGAAGTCGTCCAGGAAATCCGCAGTTCCAAGCACCGCGAGCAACTCGCCAACAACATTTATTTTGATCTACAGGTGCGGGAACCCAGTGCGGTTGATATGAAAGCGGTGGTGGAATTTGCCAAGAAAACCGGTGATTACGCTTCGCTGTCCGCCCCCGATATGAAAATCCTCGCTTTGACCTACGCTCTGGAACGCGAGGCCAAGGGTATCGACCATCTGCACACCGAACCCGCTAGCGCCCGGGGGGAGGACACATCCGCCGAACCGTTGAGTGTTGATTCAGATGCGGTGACTGAGCAGATGCAATCACTAAGCCTGAATAAGGCGGATAAACCCAAAGCACCCGCCCGCGCGCCGGTGGATTTCGATGACGGTTGGATTACGCCTAGTAATGTGGCCAAGAAGAATGCCGAGTTTGGCTTTAATCGGGTGGTTGATTCGAGTCAGGACAAAATTGCTGTGGCTTGTGCTACCGGGGATTTCGCCGTACAAAACGTGATACTTCAGATTGGGTTGAATCTGGCCGACTTTAACGGCTCGTTGATCAAGAAAGTCCAGACCAGTGTCTTGCGGTGCTACTCATGTTACCAGTAAGTCCGCAGTAGATTATATATATATTGATTACATGCTCCCTTTTGGGTTCTCTGATTGCTATTAATTGCGATAAGCCTGGTTGACAACCCGTATTTATCATGGCAACACATGTTAACTAACCTTCATCGTTTAATGTAATATACCTTGGGTCATACTACCATCTGGCTAGCATCATGACGAGAACCGACCGGAAATTCTGCTCGGAATGTGGGCACTCCACCATTACTCGCGTCTCGGCTTCGGTGGGTGAAGATGGGGAGCTGCAAGTCCACCTTTCGAAGCACTATAAGCTTAACCTGCGGGGCACACGGGTAAGTAACATCCTATTCACCGAATCCAGTAATTCCGTCCGAGCCTACCGGTTTGTGCTTGAGGGCAGTATATTTAACAATAGGGGGCTGTCATATGGAATATAATAGTCCTCTCAGACAGTCGTATTAAGTAGCGTTTATATATATCCGCTTACCCTTCCAAATGTGATGCACCTAAATTGTATCTACCCACAGTACTCGATGCCCAAGCCCAAGGGCGGCCATAAGCACACCAATTTGGTGGTGCGCGAGGATCAAAAGGAATACCGCCGTGGTATTCGGGCGGCTAAAGCCCGGGCCAAAAACAACGGCCCCGGTGTATTCGACGTGGACTACATCCCAACCTTCCACGCTACCGGATCCCAAGCTAACCCACGGTTCAACATCACTGACAAGGTCGGTTATGGTCGCAAGAACCCCAACGTGGTCAAGAACACGGGTAACCGCAAAAAGAAATCATCCCGGCCTTAATTTATCCTCCCTCTTAAAACTATATTATTAAGATGTCCCACCGACGCCACTACCCATGTTTCCTTTTTCACTTTACCATTATTCATTCTAAAATACAACCGCACTATAAAAAAACACTGCACATGGGCAATACATTATTTGGATCGGAGCTGGCTTAGTGGGGTATATTTCAATAGTACACTCAATTTGGCAATAGTTAAGTATGATCAGTATTCCTTTTTAGATAATGTATATCGAGATTAACTATTAAACGAATTCATTCTATATTATAGTGGTCCCTCAAGTACCCCCGTTCAGGTGATGAAGCACTAGACGGTGAAATAAATAAGAAATAAATAATTCACCGAACTGCCAGTCAATGTATACTTGTAATATCAATATCTTCAACTGTAAAATAATTAAAAAATTGTATGGGGGGTTGGCGCAATTGGCAGCGCGTGCGTCTCCAAAGCGCGAGGTTGGGTGTTCGAGTCACTCATTCCCCATATTTTTCATAATTCTTTTATAATGTTGGAGCCACCTGTCCCTCTACAGCTGCATGAATTTATAATCCTCCATTAGATCATTTTCTTTGTTTAGGGGATGGAGTAGTATCTAAATCTAAATTAACACAGGTTCATTATTTACAATTTGGACTAAACTGATTTATTCTTCATCATTTTAGATTCGAAACCCATATAGCCGATTTTATATCTCACCGGGTGGATGACTGTAAACGCTGTTTAATGGGTTGACGGATCAATCAGCCTATTGCAACCTAGAACGTAGCAAGGAATGACTGTGGGTGGAATCCGATGAATAGAACGAGTTGGGGATCACACGCAGCAATTCCTGTTTTGGGGGATATATACGTCAAGTTATTTGACAGGATATTTAGTATCTTAGTAATTATTGTCTAGTGAAAGCCGGTGCAATTCCTCAATCTACTATAACCCCTGACAGCCAACAACATGAGTGGAGTCTAAAATTATTTGTGGTTGCTGGTAGTACTGAACTTCATTTAATGACATTGCCCTGATATTTACTTCTTTGAATATTAACTGTATTCGAATATTTGGTCAAACACACGAGCACTGTCCCCCTTTAACGCTAAACTGACTGTAAGGCGGAAAAAACAAAAAAAGCGCTGACTTCGGCCTCGGCTTTTGCATTGGTCCTTGCTTCAGATTGATCCGGGAGAATCCAAACGCTCCTTCCTCCATTTAACCTAGTAGTTTGGGGACAGTTCGCCGCTATCCAACCTTCTTCTCTACCCTACTTCCCATTTGAATTTAGATTCCCTAGATAATATAGTGCTGCCCTTCGACTTCCTCCTAGGTCGGATTGCCATAACCGCTTGGTATTAACTCCGCGATCGTGACTCTCCGTGGGGGTTTAGTCCCCACTCTTTTTATGCGGTACTTGATCCCTTATTCTCCCGATGCTGATATTCGACTCTTTAAATACATTTGCCTTTCCCTTATAATATATATTTTTTGCCGTACCTCTTTGTGGCTGCTCATTTGCCATGCGTTCGACCGGATGCTATTGTCGGTCCCGACGATCGAATCCTAAGCTCCTAAGCTGGATTCAACCTCGACCACCTACCCGTGTTGCTCCGATGTACCAGATCGCCCGGTTTATGACCACCCTACCACCCCATCGGTCCTGTCCCTGCGAGCACCGGCTATCCCTAGAACTACTGCCCCAGGCTCGGTTATTTCCGTTTCGGACGGTGCCCGCGATACCACTACTTAGCCACCCCCGGTTCGGCCAACCATCTCCACGATCCTCCCTAGCCAATTACCCCACCATTTTACCCCACCGAGTCCGAGGTACTTCAGTGTATTTGACTCGACATGTGGCCTATTACCATACTTCGTCCGACGATCCCCCCGGACGCTATAGCGACGTGGCCAGTTTCTTTGATGCATTGATCAAGGACCTTCCGAAGGCCCATATATCCGATCCCGCCAAAATTGCCGAAGTATGGGATGATTTCTTGTCTTTTTCCGCGATCCATTGGCAGGCCTACCAGAATTTCATTGATCCCGAAATTCAGCAGGCCCACTTTGGTGCGTTGATCTGCAGTCAAAAACGGGCGGCCCCCGCTGAAGCCCGTACCCATATCATGCGGATACTCTATCTCATGCGCGACCTGGGAGTACCCTTGACCAAATCCCATTACTCGGCCCTGCTCTACACCATTTGTCGAATGGGCCTAATGGCCGACGCCTTGGCACTCTTCCGAGAACTCCGGGTCGATGCGTCGGACAACGAGTTGCTGGGCTTCTACCATATTTTGCTGTACGGATTCGGCCTAAATCGAAATTTCAACGGGCTCATGGATACGTACTTTCAAGTCCTGCGCGACGGTCTGACCCCCCAGGCTCTCACTTACCACATTATGATCCGGTCATTTCAGTCCGAGCAAGACACTTTTCGGACGATTAGGATATTCAATAGTATGATGAACTTGGGCATTCCCGCTAACCTGCTGATGGCCCGCAATATGGTATTTTTTCTGGTGGCTCAGCAAAAATACCAGGAGGCCCTCATTGTTTTTGACTACTTTGCCCAGTACGAAACGGCATCAGCCGCGGCCACGACTGCAGTACCCGAACCTATCCCCCCTCCTGCTCCATCATCAGCTGAGTCGGATACTTCATCGGAACTGGGTCCCCGCCGCGATATCTACCTATTGACCGCCCTGCTCTACTGTACTCTCAAGACCCGCGATATTGAGCGGGCACGTCAGCTGTTTGCTCAAATTCAGATCCTGGCCCGGTCCAATCCAACCAACGCATCCTCTTCCTCAAATTCGACACTTTCTTCATTAGCATCTTCATCTCTATCGCCATCGTCAAAGTCATCACCGCCCCCGCCTCCACCTCCACCACGGCAGTCCAAACTCGAGTCCCTATCATTTAACGAATTCATTTCTTTATACATTTCCCGGGGCGAGACCGATCTAGCCCAGGAGTTATTCGCCGCTCTCACTGCGGAGGGCAAGCACCCCGATGCCCTCGCCTTGCTCCCCCTTTTGCGCATCTATATTGCCGACCGAGATTTGACGCGGGTCGGGGAGGTATTCCAGGTACTCCGACAGGTTCATCCCCAGTTAGATCAGTCCCTATCGGTCGCCTTGGCCCGGGCGTATATGTCCCGGGGAAGTTCAGTAGACCTCCCGGAAACCACCGAAGCGGAGACCTCCACTTCCGATCTTGCCCAAATTTTTGTGCAACACCGATTGCCCATGACCGTGGGCACATACCGGGTGCTTATGGAAGGCGCCGTCAGTCGGGCCGATATGGCCGATATGTTCCGGATTCTCCACTTTATGTACGAGCAGGGCCACGTTATGAACCTGGAATTGACCGAACTCCTCATGCACTATCTGATGACGAACGGGTACCTCAACCTTACCAAGCCCCTCTACCGCTACATCATTGGCCCTGAAGATCCCGGGCCACCGGAGAGTGCCAATCACCCGGTGGCGGCCAAACCCACTCGCCGCATGTACCGGCTCCTTATCCACCAGTTCGCGGCGGCGGCGGAAATGCCCACGGCACTTAATCTTCTCCAAGACATGATAAACTTTGACCTCCAACCCACGGAAGATATTTTCCATATTATCATGCACGGTTACATCAACCAGTCCGAGCCTCACCTGGCCTTGGAGGTATTGCAAATCATGATCCGCCAGCCCTACTTCTCCAACGACGTGACGGATAACCACCCTAGTAACCTGAGCGCTCGTAAACTGCGATCACGGTACGTACCAGTAGATGCCGACTTGAGTTTCCTGGGTCTCGATACGTTTGCGGTGATGATTCGAGCCATCTGCCAGTTAGGCGATATGGACGAAGCCAGTCGACTGGCCCATACCCCCTTTTCGTCTCGACGGGCTTTGAATCATGTGCTGCATGGATTTGTATCCCAACACCGACTGGTGGCCACCCGACGTATTTTCCGAACCCTACTTCGTCGGGGGATGGAGCCGAACGCCCACACCTACTCGGGGCTTATGCAGGCGTCGAACCGATCGGAATCTCTGGGTGCTGCTCGGGCGATTTTTGAACACCTGGTTCGGAACGCGGTCCCACTCAATGCGGTCCTAATGACCAATTTCATCGTGGCCCATATTCCCGAGGGGGATGTCAAGGGGGCCGAGTGGGTGTTTGATCAAATGAAGATCCAGCACCATATTGAGGTGGACCCCCTCGCCTACATTGCCATGCTACGAGTCTACCGCCAAGCGGGAAAGCCCGTGTCCAGTGTCCGGGTTTGGGAGGAGCTCATCACCCGCTACCCTATTCAACGGGACGCCAAAACCCTCCACCTGTACCCTAACCGGTACCATATGCAGGCCTTCTCCTGGCTTATTCGGTCCTTCTACCCTGTGGCCGCTTTAAAAGCCGGCACTGCCAAGGCGGAGTACGCCTATTCTAAACTACTGGCGGCGTCCAATGAGGACCTCTGGTGGCCCGAGGATGAGCAGGGCGCCTATGAGAAACCCCCTCCCTCCCCGGTGACGGATGACCTGCACCAGTATGCTGACCACATTCTCCGCCGCTTAGCCACTCCCTTTATCCGAGATGGACTCAAGCAGCGCCGTCTGCGTAAAGGGGAAAGTTCCCAGAATCGCTGGATGCAAAAACGCGAAGAAGCCCGGCGACTTCTGGGGTATTCGTCGAAATACACCTCATACTCAGCGGAGGACCCAACACTAGCTCTACCCTATCTCTACAGCCGCCTGTCCACGCTATGGAATTCGTTGGCGGGCGTGAATTTCCCCTTCAGCCATTTGCATTACAACGAATATTTCTTGGCCCTGGTGTACGGGTATCGGATTGACGAGGCCCTGGACTTGATTGCCGGTGCCCAAATCTACGTGATTGGGTTTGAACCCCAGGTCACCGAGGAACCTGTCAATTATACCGAAGCGATTGAACTTCGCGACGGACCGGCCGGTCCCCGGTTCGTGTCACCCAGTCCACAGGACGAGAGGGATTACCCGGAGGCGTCGTCGTCGGAGTCCTACGACGCGGAGGAAGACCAGGGAGAGCATGAAGAGGGTGATCATCACCCAACCTCCGTCGAAGAATTCACCCAGACGAATACTCGGGCCTACGCAGAGCCGGTTGAAGACGAGCCGACCGGGCCTATAGTGGTGGCGGACTGGAGTTACGAGTCCCCCGCCGTGGCGCCCCTCGATCCCCAGCGACCCCAACAATTCCGACAGGAAATTAATCGTCCCGTGCCGCTCTATGTCTCCCCTATACCGGAGAACCAGGGCCAGCCGGGGAAGAATACGCCGGTTTCGGATAGGACAACAGCCACGCCCCCTTCGGGCCAGCAATATGACACCACCCCACCACCACCACCATCATCATCATCATCATCATCATCATCATCCGATTCTCCGATGGAAAATGGTTCCACCTCCTCATCGTCATCGTCGGCGCATTCCACTGAGCACCCCCCTCAGGCGGCCGATAACCCT